TGACCATGGACTGAAAACAGAACTGTCCTTTCTTTACGTAGTTTTCAGCTACACGGCTCTATACTAGGATGTCTAACCGAAAAAGGTTACCATTCTAAGTTAAATGTTTACAGACGTTCACTTAAACAGTTGTCAAGGTCAGCCTTCATCCATGCTGTGTGACCTTATGGCCGAGACCCCCGATTGACCCGACTCGAAAGGGCGAGATTTGTAGTATTATTTCGTGTCAACACAAGCTCCAAAGCTAAACCGGGTTGATACAACAGTTCACTTGAAGATTCTCGGCGAAAGCTGGTAAAAATAACGGGTGACCGAGTTCGCTCGGTCATGCAGTGACAAAACTGATAATGAATGAAGGTCTGGGGTCCAGTTCAAACGTAGCAATAGATAGCACACACGTACTTGGTCCAGGAGACGAATTTTAAAAGTTATCAGCTGCATAAGAACACATTAGTCATATTAGCGTAAATAATAAAATTTGCAATGCCTACAGATCTGAATATAATTATGCCGAATATTTTTTCACTTTAGCTCTAAACAATATCAAAAAGTGCCGCTAAGTCCTTCGGGAAAGGAAAAGCAAGAGCTAAATAAGCGTGAAGCACAAGTTGAGGGAAAATTAGATGAGCTGGATCGAATAGTTTGTAGTAGTCAAAACCTCGACCAGGCTCGTCTCGGGTAAAATTTCCACACAGCCCTTTACTATTGTTAAACAAATCTGTTTTCCCAAAGACAATGTATTGTTTTTGTCATTGTTTTCTCAATCCAAGAACTGAATGCATAATGAAGGATAGGGCTGTGCGGAAATTTTGCCCTGGTCTCGTTCAAGAACAAGATAAAATATATTTTAGAGGTGCTCAAAGGTCTCATTGAAAGATAACGAAAAGGTGCGATTTTTCGATGTAAGTGTAACTCAGTCGAACAGGATAAGAAAACAAGTGCGTACAACGGACCGGGCAATTCTTACAACCGATCAGGTGCGTACAACAGAAGGAAAAAATTTTCAACTAATCGAATAAGCGCGTACAATTTACAACCGAACGAGCTTAAAACTGAGTAAATAACCTAATGAGTAAGTCCGTACAACTGACAGAGTACTATGATAACAAGGTAATTTGGCACTATCAACTGAGTTGATAACGTAATTTGGCCACCGTTAAGAGTTTCAAAACTGAGGTTTCGAGCGTTAGCCCGCCGGTAAACCAATTTAAAGTGCAGCCTGATGCTTTTCTAAAATAACTATTGTTTTACCTGTGCAATAAACGATAAGTTTTTGACCAATCAGTAAGCTCATACTTTCTTTGTATTGTATAAAAAGGAGTATGAAGCACGCTCGCGCAATCAAATTTGATTACACGAATTTACTATCTATGTTATAAAATCCTATTCGTAAATGTGGGGAAGTAAACATCTTTGAAATCACATAGGTCGTTTTAGACAAGGAGTAAACAACAATGCGCTTTGTACAATTTGTCCATTTTTCAATCTCTACCTACCATGGAAAACAAACCCAGCTGGCTTCAAAAGTAGTATGCCTCAAAGGTATTCCACGTAATGAGCTGAGTTACAAGGACAAAATCCAATTAGTGGTTCCTTTAGTTTTTTGCGTAAAAAAATTTCCGATCAGGAAAACGCAAATCAACCATAAGTCACGGACGATGTTTTTCATGTAAACAAACAAGTAATTCAAAAGTTAGCTGGCTACGTAGAAACATAGAGATCGGCCTAAAAAGACATGTTAACCGTTTTGTAATGAAGTCTTCACTTTGTTACGTTTACTCGTTCTCTACATTCGCTCGCGTGGAATTTTTAACCCTCTAACTCCCAGAAGTGATTGACAATTACTTCTACCTACAATTTACAGGTAATGAGAATGCTCAAATGTATTAGGCAAAAGTTGTTATCTCGATCTAACATCAAATTCTCGTAACTGATTTACAAGGAAATTTGTAGCAGCTAGAGGGGAGAACTAACAATCAGATCTTGGGAGTTAAAGGGTTAAACCAATTAATATCACTTTCATTTCACAGATCATGTCGACGTTTATCTTTACGTCTGCAAGGAGGCAGTCATCTCGTCTCCGCCATATCAGTCCGATAAAACTGGCTACTTCTTATTTCTTGTCCACAAAAACAAGATCAGTAACAGGCAGTATTTTTGAGCGAATTCCTAAAGAGGAGCTGGCACCCAAAACCAGACCACGGCTGCGAGACAGGGAGTTTCTCCCAGGCTCAACGGGTGAAGGATTCCCAGAGTTCTTGGCGGAGCCAAGTGACTCTTTCCCGCACGGAGTGCGAGTCAATACTAGAGACCAGTCCTCTATCTCAGAACTGGGTGCAAATTGCATGAAATACATAAAGGAAAACCTTACTGATAGCCAGGCGATATTGTTCCGCGGACTTCCAGTTGAAACAGCAGAGGACTTCTTGGCCTTAACCGAAGGAATGCGAGGCAAGCCTCTGAACTACGAGGGTGGTACTGCACCCAGACCCAAGGAAATAGAAAATTCTGATATCTACTTTGCCAGTGCTGAGCCTGGAGCGTACACCATCGAGTTACACAATGAAATGGCGTATCTCAAGACTTTCCCCAGGAAGGTATTTTCATGATAAAACACAAACGACTAATGCTGAGGCACCAGGGTATTTTCTGGGCGCTCCAAACATCAGCAAAACTTCCACTAGGTTTACGATGCGCTATTGTTAATTCAGTAGTTCTTTCACTCATGTGTACGTTCCTTCATTCGTGGATACTGTGGTGTACTTTGGTTCATTCGTTATTTCACCAGTTCGTTTTTCCATTCATTCGTTCGTTCGTCCATTTTTTCATTCGTTCTTTCGTTCATTGGCTTACTCGCCCATTTGCTAATTAGTTGAATTCTTTGTCCATTCGTTGATTCTTTTATTTACGTTTGTCCTTTCATTCATTTCTTCTTCCACTTTAGGTATTTTTTTTCTGCCTAAAAGAGCCTGGCGAGAATTGTGGTGGCGAGACACCGCTGAGCAAATGCAGCGACATTGTACTCAAACTTGATCCCGAAGTCGTGAAAAAATTCGAGGAAAAAGGAGTCATGTATGCACGACATCTGCCGGACAAATCACTGTCAGACTACATGCCCTGGCAGCATCAGTTTTACACTGACGACAGAAAGGTAATACAACTTGGTTCACGTCAGGAATCCAATGTAAGAATTGATTGTCCTTTAAAGACCAAACAAAAATTGTGGAGATTTAAAAAAAAAATGACGATTTTCAGTCTCCAGTTATTGAATTTACACTGATGACTTTATTTACTCTTTTAGGCAGCAGAAATAAGAGCACAGCAGCGAGGTAACACTGTAAGATGGGACGATAACGGTGATATGTACCTGACTTACACCGCGCCGGCCTTTCTTTCTCACCCAGTAACAGGAGAAAAAATCTGGTTCAACCAAGCAATACAACACCACTGTACTTACTCGAAAGCACTGCCACAGTACAAAGGTTCTGATCTCCCGGATGAGAAATATCCCTGTCACACCTATTATGGAGACGGAAGTGACATCGAACCGGAAGTGTTACAACACGTCAGAGCAGTTTCATGGTCATGCGCAGTTGGGTTTCGGTGGAAGAAGGGTGATTTAATAGCGCTTGATAATCTGAATGTTCAGCATGGACGAATGGCCTTCACGGGAGAGAGAAAAATACTGGTGCATATGACGGCAGACTGAACCTTACCTTTCATTTTGAGGCTTAGCCTTGTCTTTTACTTTTGTCAGGTTCATCATCATTAGGCACCATTTTTGAGACAATTTTTTTAACCAAATAAAAAAACTCAATGTTAGCGTGTAGAGTGGTATGTTGCTCGCACCAATCAGATCGCCGCATTTGGATATCATGCACCAATCATTTTGGTGCGTCTGGGTATTATATTCTAGTAAATGATGCCATGGAATCAGGGGGCTGTGCACAAAGAATGACATTAAACGGAAATTTTGGGCTCCGCGCAACATTAGCATATATTTTTTCAAATTTTTTGAAAGTGTCTCCATGTCGTTTCATATACAAGTGACATGACTTGTTCTCCTGATATCAGTTGATATTCTCTTGGCTATTTTTAATCAGTAAAATGTTATTTCATTTGCTCCAAAATATTTTTTACGGCTTAAACATGAAATTTTTAGAATTGCACAGTACGGAGGCTTTCCTTCCTCAAAGAAAGCATTACATTGCAAAGAATAATTATCACAACATTCATGTATTCGTGTGCTTTTTGTTTCTTCCGATGCACTTCATGTACCTCTCTTACATACTCTAAGAGTTTAAAATCTGACGTTTCGAGCGTCCACTTAGTCCTATTGCTGTCATAGATCGGGCTGGTGATAACAAATCACGTCCGAAAAAATTGTTATTGTTTTGGTTTGATCGGAAATCATACTCGTGATTTTAAAATCGAACGAGTGCGCAGCGTGAGTTTGATTTGAATTCCCAATTACCTCTTAATTACGTTTATTTTGAAGGAACACTAAGAGGGCAAACAGCGGAGAAACTATTTTTTAAGAAGCACACACGGCGAGGCATTTAGCTAGGCCGTTTTTAAATAACTTATCAGTTCAGTTTAGAGATAGGATTTCTTCCACGCGGTAGCCGAGAGAACGTTAGAAAGAAGAAGGAGCTAACAGAAGTAAAATTGCCAGTAATATAATGTTCTCTATAATGTTCTCTATATTGGCTATTGCCTCGTGTATTTTCAACCATGTGCATCAGTAAATTTGAATATAAATTTTTGTCGAGCCTAACTCCCTTAGTACAATGCATAAGTTTGAAATATGTGATGACAGACCAAAAAAACTTGTATTTGGGCGATTAGATTGTGCGATTCCTCTTAACTTTTTCTTCATTGGTTCCTTCAAACCGAGGTTTCTGTTAGAATTTCGCAGAATTTCGGAGCGGGGTCTGGAAAGAAAGACCAGCGGCTGCTCCCATTAGAGGCAGATGTTTGATGCAAGCACTATTTCAACTAGCGTACGGTTTTGTTGATTTCAACGTGTCTGTTGTCGTGACTTGAGTGATCATTGCTTGCGTATATCGCCTTTCTTGGTCTCTTAATCCGTCAGAGAAGCTTCTAGCTTGTGATTTGTGTCTTTGAAATTATGCCACCGCAAGAAAACGAAGGAAATCCGAACGCTTCCATTCATCCGCCCGAAGGCAGTACGGCTAATTCTTCGACCAGCCCTAACTGGGCTGCACTTAGGGTAAGGAAGCCTAAAAGTATTTAAATCTATTGTCTGTGTCTTGAAATTTCTCAGATCTGTCAACATTTAGAGGTCGGGGTTATTCCCTCCTTTTGGGTTCATATCGAATTGTGATCATACCGGAAGAAAACTGCCAGACGAATGAAAGTGTCTTAAATATGAAAAATAACTTTCGTTCATTGCATAGATCTTAGTTGTTTGGAATCTTGGTTGCAAATGCGTGAGAATTTGTGCACTTAACTTTTTCATCAAGTGTGAATTATTTAGTGTGTTCAAAAAAATGTCAGTAGTCTATACTGGGACGAAAGTTTTGATTTTACATGATCCTGTATTTTTCCTCGGCACAATCACCACTTCCTGCATAGACAGTCTGGTCTTGAAGCATCCAGCTTATTTAATCCCGTTAATTGAAAACGTACTTCGGTAATTTCCCAAATTTTTCTGGTTAATAATTTATTTACCAGTTTTACTTGATGTTGAAGAAGAAAGGGAGCTTAGCTTTTAAACCCAGCTTATCCATGTTTATATTATATTTCCCAGAAGTGGAAATGTTGTGTTGTTCAACTTTTAGTATTTTATCATGTAAATAATTTTTCTCAGTCATCTTTAATAATCTATTATTCTGGTTGTTGAGGGAAGGGAATATTCCTGCTTCAAAGTTATTGGGAAGTGAAAGGAGAACCAAAAATTATTTTTGAAGCTCATCTTCTTGGAAGTGTTTGGATGATAATATTTGACAAGGTGTTTTTTTGGGTCTTAATTTTTCAAACCCATGATAAGAATCACACGAAAAATGTCACAACTATTTAAAGGATGGTTACATATATGACATGCTTATATTTTCATAGCAGCCCTTGTATTTTTGTGATATTTAAATAGTGTCAGGGGAGTTTTGGGGTTTTCACCATTCTCTCCTCTCTCACCTTGTAATCTTCAAAGAAATTTTTTATATGGCAGACATCCATGGCCTCTTAAAATGATATCCAACAATTCTAGTTAGTTATCAATTTCGCAAAAGTTGAAACGGTGCTTTGAGAAACATCTTTCTGCAAAGTTCAATGCTAGAATTTAATAAATTCATGAAAACTTCTTAAAGTCTCATAAACACTGTTCAAAAAATAATTTGATGGCGATCTGATTTTGCTTCATGTCATTTACAAGTCAAAAGTAAAAAGGACAAGTGAAAATGTATAAAGTAATGAAAACAATCAACAGAGACAGAACGTTTTTTTTTTCCTTAGGGGTATAATTCCCAAAGGTGAATTGACAACTCAGTGTCAGGTAAAAAGTTTAGGGCAAATTGAGTCACTCAGTGTGTTGAACAAAGGCTTGATGATCTGATTAAAAGGCATTTCTTAGATAAAACAATTAAACATGCTGATACATTTTCTGTGAACTTTTAAAATGCAATCAATGGGTTTGTTCCTCTCTATTGTTTTTATCTCTTGATATATTTCCAATTGTTACTTTTACTTTTGACTTGCAATGTCAAAATATTGACAAAATACCCATTAACAAATAATATGAGTTTTTTTAGAAAGTTTCTATGTATTTAAATAATGTTCTAGTATTGAAGTTTGCCATCAACTGTGTGTTACAATGGAAATATGTGACTAAACAAATGTATGATGATATTCTGACTTGCAGCGATATCTGTTGGATAACAAAATTGATTCAGCATTATGGCTTACAAGAGTATTTACAATCATCACTTCAATTCTTTATTTGCTTCCATTTTTTAGGTAAGTATATGAGTGAGTTGTCTAAATCCTTTTTTCACAGTGAATATCCAAGGGTTTTCTCTGACAACTGTAGTAACAGGAAAAAGTAATTGGGGAATATTCTGAGTGAGGGAATGAAATAATAGCTCAGACATTTTAAATTTAGGCACAGAATTTATTTCCATGTAAATATTTGAGTGAACTACAGGTGGCAGTTCATACAAACTGAAGTCATTTGAGTAATGACCAACCGGTCAAAGACATATCTAAGATTTAGTGACAATGATGGCTTATTTTATGTATAGAAACTATTTTGATTTTAATTGATTAAAAAGCTTTTCATTTCTTAGATTTCATGGACAATTAGTGAAGGATGTTGTACTAATTTAAAGACCAAAAAAGAAACAAAAAGGGTTGCTAATGACCAAACTAGAAAATATTGTAGCAAGTGACTCTGGCTGACATTTCTTAAGTTAAAGTCCCAATTTGTTAAAAAGTATGTTTAATTTTTTTTAAAGCTCAGAAGTCTTCTTTTTTATCTATTCTAACCAAAAGTGTTTTCTATAAAAGCCTGTTGCTTCTATTAGATCATTCAAATTCAAAATAATAATGACATAATTATGAAAATCTTTAACCCCCTAACTCCCAGATCAAATTTATAATTCTCCTCAGTGTCAATCATACAATTCTTATAATGTTACTTCAGAGAATTTAGTATTGGATCAACTAATTAATCCCAAATTGATATTTTTCTTTATTCTCATCACTTATTGGGTTGATATTGTATTGATATTGTAAGGAGAATTTCTGTCTTGGTCACTCATGGGAGTTAAAGGGTTAAAGTGCAAGCTAGAAAAGTAGGCTTACTGTTGACATTATTCAGGCTTCAGATTTTATCTTTTGTTGCACTCTCACAGTGCTGTCTCCACTCAGGAGTACCAACCCACCATCAGGGAGTCCTGACTAAATGTTGCTCAAGGGGTTTGCTCGCACTGGACATTTGTTCCAAAAGGAATGGCTCTGCCTAGGATTGTTTTGTGGCACAAAAACTGTTACAAGTTTACAATATATGCACAAAGGTTCTTAGAAACTGTTTTTTGTTAAGTTTATTAACATTTCTTGTTCCATTTGATTGAATCACAGTCCTATGTTCAGCTATAACTGTTACAAAAGAGTGCTGATCAGTTCAGCAGCCACATCAGCCTTAAGGCTTCATCAACGACTTCCAGTATGTAAAATTGTGTTGTTTCATTCACATTCAAAATAAATTTGTTCTATCAATATTTAAAAAATTATGAAATTTTTAATCATATGGATTAAAAATGGATTTTTTTTCATTTCACAGAGATTCCAGTTTTCAAGAGAATTCTTTGGACTACTGCTTAGTGAAGACAGTTGCCATTATCTACTTTACAGCATCATGTTTGTCAACTCTCATCCAGTCACAAGTATCTTTTGATTTTAAAGATGAAAATGTGAAATGGAGCAAATGCTAGTTTCTAGTTTTTTTTTCAGTTTAGAAAGAAGCCTCAGTGTTTTTGGTTCACCTTAGAGACACTACAATTGTCAGTTTAGTGGAATGTGGAAATAGTTTGGAGACAGGGTTTTGACTGCAAAATAACAGTGTTGTCTCAGGCAACCTTTCTTGTTATCAAGCAATTAATGTCACAAAATGGGGTGTCAAAATGTGATTTTAAAATGTATGATATGTATAATTCAGCCTATCATACTGTAGACAACTTTTCAAATGCAAAACTTTCCTTGACTACAAATTTCTCACAAAGTCATCTTAATTCCAGTTGCATTATTTGCCCTTCTTCACACTGTGTCATTTACAAAAAAGTTACTAGATGTGAGTACAAAATTTTTGAGTAGTCTGTCTGTTAGTTGAAGTTGCTTTTGTTCCACAAATCTTCACATTGTGTTATTGTTTATACAACACTAAGTTGATAGTTACTTGTGGAATATTATTTTCTGTCTTTTCTACTGTGTGCAGATCCTTGGAAGTGGTGGAATTTTCAGCATGTCCCTTATAAGGTAAACGCTCTTTCTCTTCCAATTCAATTGTTTTTTACATTTCAAAATTCAACATGATTGCATGTTCATTAATGTGAGGTTCTGAGGAATAAATCCTTAAGTCTGTAAGTCATTTCCCATTTTGAAATAGAAAAATTTTGTCCTTTTATTCAATGAATCAGCTAGGCAAATGCTTTTTTAAAAGCCTTTACACCCTAACATGAGTGTACATATTCTTCATGCTGTTCTCTTTACGTTTCCTATGATAATGACAAGGAGAATATGTTCAATGATCAATAACTTCTTAAACTGGCATTCATTTCCTTGCTCCTCATAATCCAATACTGCAATGCTGTGACAAGAAATTAGATGATGGCCAATCTTAGGGGTAAAAGGTTACTGGTTATTTACATGTTTGCCCTCTTATGGTTTATTTTCTCAAATTATTTTCTAATCATTAAGTGTTCAGAATTCAAAAGAACATGTTTGAACTACTTTTTTTTACAATTGGAACAAATGTAATATCCAAACCAGTAACAATAAACAAGAATTTGTGTGAGAACTCAGTGCAATTTTGGATTTTATCTGAACATTTAATCAACAACAACTTAAATACTCTTTCATTCCTGTAAGTTGTATGTTTTTTGTTCTGTTTTGTTTTTCTTTTTAAGGTCAGCTCGTAAAGCCATAGAGAAGGTGGAGATTCATCAGCAGGGATTGCTGAGGTTCATTGCTTGCACAGAGATAATGCTGATGCCAGCTGTTATTTTAATGGCACTCAGGTCTGTATACAGTTCATTTTCCTAATGATTAGTGAAAAACATCAAATGAAGTTTAATTATTAATACTGCTTTTTTCCTCCACCTGGGTAGCTCATGTTGTGAGGTTCCCACACTCCCATGAGAGAGGTCTAAGGTTCAAGCCCCAGAGTGAAACAACACTTGGGGTCTTAAAATAAATGAAGAGACTGTTTTGCCTATGCTATGACATTTGCAAATGGTTGGATGTTCTAGTCTTCTTGGATAATATACTGTAGTAAGAGTTTGAAATGGACGATCTATGGATAATGTTTCAATATGTTACTGATGCTGCTGTGGATGAATTTTCAATTTCAGTGGTCAAGCTGGCATTGTCATTCCTTTTGTTTACTATCGATTTGTGGGATTTAGATATGCATCCAGGCGGAACCCATATTGTAGGTTAGTGACAGAATTTTTGAATATTAATTAAACATCCTTTGTTTTCATTTTGTTGGCAAAGAGCATTCAAATTATTTTTTTTACAAGTAAAAATATTAGAGTTTGATTTTATAGTAAGCACAATTTCAGTACAAAAGTGATGTGGTTGTGTTGCAATTCCTCACACTGGTATCTTTATATATTATATTATTATATCAGCTGGTGAGGGCAACCACTGCCTTCTCTACAGTCTAGCAAAACAGAGTCAAACAAACCGTAATCAAAGTTTCAAAAATGTTTGTGATGTCAGATGAAGGGTTAGTGATCTGTCATATGCAAGATCTTTTGCATGTTGAAGGGGTTTACTTGTGCAGTTTTATCAAAGCTCCTTTGAGAATGAAATTTCAAACCAACTGTTTATCTCTGTCATTTCTTCCAGACTTCTATTTACTGAGTTTCGACGATCAGTTGAGCAGCTTGCAAGTCATCCTCGCTGCCCAGCATTCTTTACGGACCTTTGTGTTCAAGTTCACTGCCTTCATTGAAAAGTTAGCTCCTCCAATGGCACCACCCCTCCCTCAAGCTTCTGCCTCTTGAGGGGAAAAATGTTATTTAATTTGCTTCTCCAAATTTCAGCCTTGTATATTTAAGTAGGTAATAGCAAATTTCAACTAATGATAGACAGAGACAAAGTCATCGTTGAAAAAAAGTGTAACCTGCCTGTTTGTTTTGTTGGTACTTGTGTCGTTGGTGTCTTTTCACCAATGTATGCTGTACAATGAGGGAAAAGAAAAACTTGAGTAATAAATTAAGCAATTGTGATGAAAATTATGGAGGGTTTTCAAAATCTTAATCCAGGAATACTGCCATTTTATCATAAACCTTTGGAGGACTGTTGATAGTTGTTTAATAGTTGGATAATGGTTCTTGTTTGTAAAGTTATCAAGTTAAACTTGTTCATTTTTTTTTTTTAGTTGACATAACCAAGCTGTATTATTTTATGAAGTACTGTTTCACGAATAAAAAATGTTTTAGTACCTACTTTGGTTGCTTTTCTACTGTACACAGCATGTTGGTTTTGTGAATCATAGTACTATGTTTGTGGTTGACTCCACTTGAGTGTGATCAAGCGACATTTCATCAAAGGCAGAACGAGGCAAAGCTATTAACACATCAAGTTTTTGTGCACGAATTGTGACCAGTTACTACATGATGAGTACAGACAAGCATTCATATACATGAACATCATACAAAATTTTGAGCTGTCCATGGTAGAGTACAATAACTTTGACTGAGTGGGAGGATTGTGGGATGAAAACTTCTGGCTCAAGGTAATGATGCATGCTGGGAGCAAATGGTGGTCAGTGTGTTACAACTGAGAGCCAATTACTTTGCCATTCAGCTTAATTTAACTTAGTCAACAGGCATTTTATTATATATCTGTCGCTATTCCCACCCAAGCCATTGCATACAGCCCTCATACAGGGACTTTTGTGAAATGTCTTCACACAAGTGTGTGTAGTGTTACATGCAGTCAAAACATATGTAAAAGTTCCACCACCTAAAAATGGAAAAATTGGCTCTACCTTTAAATGCCTTAGCTGACAACTTTGTTGGTCTGATCATCCCACTAAAATTGTCAAACAAACAATAATTGTGTTTCCAGAATTCATTAAAAGTTGGTTAATTTTGTTATTTTCAACAACCAGTGAAATGAAAATAGGAAGATCCCTTCTTTTGGTTTCTTTCCACAATTTATTTGTCTGAGGATATAAACACTGCGAGTCCAAATCCTAATTTACAATGAAACCAAGAACTAGAGGAAAGAGTACTATAGCAGATCTTTGAAATTAACACTTTACACCCTAACATCAATATACATATTCTCTATTCTGTTCCCCATACATTTCCCAAGGTCTTGGCCATAAGAATTTGTTTAACAATCAAAAGCTGTTAGCTACTGATCATTTCCTTTATTCTTCTGTATTCATGTGTGATTCAGGGGTTGTATTGTAAGGAGAAGTTACATTGCAGTCACTCTTAAAAGAATGATCAATCCTCTACTGTGTTCAGAACATGGCTACAACATCATTAAAATGTTAAAAAAATTAGGAAGAAATCACGGAATTAAAGTTTAAGACAATGATGGTGACCATTGTGATCATTCATTGTCATATAATTAACTCGTAATTCTATAAGTGTAATGGAACTAGCTTACATTTAACAATTCAAATACCTCTTAAACCTACAAAAATATAGGGATCCCTAAACTGAACAAACTTTGTGCAAAGTTACAGTATGAATTTTCAAGAAATCTCATGAATACATAACAAGAACAAAACTGTGGCAGTTCTTTCAGTAAAGTGAAATTTGAGAAGATGTTTTCATTTCAGATGAAGAACAGAATTGCCATTATGTGACAAAAAAACTTAAACTAAATGTAACAGTTTTCTAAAGTTCACAAAATTTGGCTTAATTTCCTCCTCTCTAAAAGTGTGGTTTTCTTTCTCACCTTACCAGGGGGGGTGGCATTTACATTATTACTGGGGGCTCAAAATGACAACCTTGAAATATTCTAACTAAAATGTTTAAGATACACAAATCGTTACAAAACTTGTTCAAGCACAAAGTTTAAATCAATGAGAGTTTGGACTTTCCTATATTCTGACTTTGAAGACCACTGGTCTTGAAGCTTCTGTTGGTGCTCCATCATACTCTGCAGGAACACTCCTTGGAAGAGGCTTTGCTGCTGGTGCAGGGGCAGCACGTAGAGGAGGAAGAGGGGCTAGTCTGGCCGGTGGAGGTGAGTAGAGTGATGCTGATGGTTGCATGTTTAGCTTACAAAGCATCGGCTGCCCATCAAGTTTCCTGTTGTTGTATCTATTAATTGCAAAGTGTGCATCTTCTTTATTCACATACACAACTTCTGCTGATCCCCTTCCAAGCATTTTACAACTGCGTAACTCACCCACTACGCCGAAGAGTTCTTCAACGTCTTGTTGAGTAACAAGCGGGTGTAAATTCGAGACCGTGATCCTACAACCGGAAGTTGGTATGTCTTGTTTAGATGGCTCCCGACCCCTTTGAATCTGTGCTGCGGTACTGCTCATTCCGTGATCCAATCTGCCCTCCAACAAACTATCTCCGAATCTGCCCGCTAGGAGAGGTTCGGATTTTTTTGATGCGTAGACGCTGTTTTCTACATTAATCTGACTGTACAGCGTATTCTCCCTTCTCTCCTTTTCTCTTCTTTGAGCTTTCCTCTCTCGTTCCCTCCTTTTTGCTTCGTTTTGTCTCTCTCGCTTTCTTAAGAGTTGTTCCCTCTCTTTTCTTTTTGCCTCCTCATTCTTAGCTGTTATCGTAAGATACCCTGCAGTGATGTTTGCTTCTCGTTCCAAATCTTCCTTACTACGCTCTACTTTGGCAGTGATCCGGATCGAATCTCCCATCACTGTAGCTGACCTATTTGGCGGGACATCTTGCTTCGTAGTAATTTGAATATGGCCACCAGTCGACAGCGTCAAAGACCTATTTTTCTGAAATTCATTTTGTCTTTTTTCTTTTCTCTGATCCTCTAGCAAGGAAATGGAACGAATGATCGGTTGAGTTAGTTTTTTTTTCGAAGAAATAGTTTGCCTCGCGTCAACAATATTCCTCGTATTCGTTTTAGTGGCAGGAACACGAAACCCTTGCGCTTTTTTAGCCTTTTTTCGAGAAAGAGCAGAGCGCAGATCTTGCGATCTTTTGACATTTCTCGCTCCTCCAACTTCTAAGCCCACTTTTCTTCCACTTTGCAACGCTTTACCACCTCGATTTTTCTTCTTAAACATCTCGGTACAGTTTTCTTAGTTTCACAATTTCAGGAGGCTCTAAGGGAAATGTTTCACGGTTTTCTAGACGCCGCACGATGTAAAGCTAACTTCTATTGGCTGCTTAATTTTAGCCAATAAAGTACTTCTTTAGAAAGTAGCTTACCCTGAGCCGTGGAGTAGCGGTATTTCCCCAAACAAGATTATGTTCATATATGCTGAAATGTTTGTACCTTCTGAGGGAGGTACGCTCCAGTTATGTTCCTGACGCAACTATGAGAATTTTGCTCAGTATTTGGACGGTGATGATAAGAACATTACTTGTCCGCTGCTTACTAAACGGATATACCAAGATGGTAAACCCGGTTGCACATACAACAACTGGGCTTACATAATCATTGCAATCGTGGCATTTATAATTGTTGGAATCCATTTACAGCTTTCGTTTGCTGCATACAGCGGAAGATACGGAATAGGCAACGCATTCGACGCAGTAGCAATGACCGATCAAGCCCCTATCCATATCAGGTATGGTTGATTTTCAGGTAACAAAAGACGAAACCTACTTCGATGATACAGTGATTTGGATTCGGGCGCCATTTGGACCTCTTTGTTGATCAATTTCTGTAGTTAATCAATTTAAATTTAGCTGATTATAAACCACAACAACTGTCTTGAACAGGCCTTATAGCAGACTTCTCATCACTTCGCACATAAGAGCAAGCAACTTTCCGATCAGAAAAACTGAAGCATTGAGCTCTTCTTTTTCGTCTTAGGAATTCCATGGTTAACATATCGGTAAAATTTCCGCACAGCCCCATCCTACATTATGCATTCAGTTCTTGAACAGAAGAAACAATGACAAAAACAATACATTTCCGTTGGGAAAACAGATTTGTTTTTACAATAGTATGGCTGTGCGGAAACTTTTACCAACATATCTAATAATTATCAAGCTTCTTTCATGATACTCCAAGACAGGTGAAATATTATTATCAATCAGCCATGAAAGATTACATTGAGCTGGAGGTTTTCAAATGAATTTTCAATCTTGGATAGGTCAGGGCGGGGTATAACAAAAAGCACTGAAATTACAAACTTTGAAAACTGAAAGAAGGGATGGAGAAATAGAAAGTTGTGTGTTAATATGGCAAAAAAAAAGATAATTATAGTGGCTGATAAAAACTGAAGTAAGCACAACTCATTATCTTAAAATAGAGTACTTGGTGTAGATTTGGTTTTTTCCCAAAATGATTTTTACGCTAGTATGACATGAGCAGTCAGCCAGCCCAATCAGGGTAAACCTGCATGATCCTACAGTAAAGTCTTTTCATTTTCTTTAGCCCATCAGCAGTGAAGGAAGTGGGCACCCTTCTTATGGAGCTATTGACAGTGCTGATGAGCGTGTAATCAGATGTAGGTATAATATTTTTGCAATTTTATTGTTTCATAGAAACTGTTCAGTTACAGGGTAGGTGGTAACACAATAAACAAGATGGCCTTGGCAACAAGACAAATTTTGTTGTCTTGAGATTTAAGAGGCATTTCCATTTGGGAGACTAAATCATAAGGACAGGAATCATGACAAAGGATAATATATGTCAGAGCTGGTCAGTTAGCTCAGATGATTTGTAAAGAAATTTTTGGCCAGTTCAGTCAATTCTTCAGTTTTGTAGCAACAACAGTGACATCAACAACAAAATGTATTTATCTTAGCCATAAAAATACATCTCTAACAATCCCTGCCCAAAAAATAGCAAAGCTAAGCAATGCAGGAGGAAAGTAAACATTAAAACAAATTCTTCCATAACAAGCTTGAGTCAAAATAGGAAATGACTAAGAGAGCAGGCATATACATGAATAATGAAAACAGTACAAAATCAATATCCTTTATAGATGTGTTTGGGTAAGGTTTCTAAGCAACAGAAAATTCTGGAAAATAGCTTAATATTTGTTTTGAGTAAACTATTTTCATTGAGCAGCAGTCAGTTAACCCTTTACTCCATAACATCAGTATGCATATTCTCCATACTGTTTCCCATACTTTTCCTTAGGTGATGTAGAGAAGAATTTCCTTCACAATTAAGGACTTCTTTAGTTGGTGATAATTTTCTCTATTGTTGTGATCTCAATGTGTGATTCAGGGGGTGAAGGAGTGAATGCTATTGGATTTTGATCTTAAAAAGTTTTTTAGTGGGCATTTCCATTGTCTTTTTCAGCTCCAAGCCATGACTCTGTATCTACTGCCAGTCTGGCTGATAAACAGAGCCAGCATCAAGACACCACAAGTGTGGCATCTAGTCGTGCAAGCATGGTTCCAGCCTATGACGACGTATCTTTAAATCAACAGCGCTGCAGCTAGTAGATCTCGCCACCCATCTAATTCAGAAAATATTAAAGATGGTGCCAAGAACTCAGCAGGAGGGCAAGCCAATCAAAGGAGAACATCGCGTCTCTCATCAGATGGCCAGGATAGATTTGTTGACCAACCAGGACAGTTTTATGAATCTGTGGATGTTGTAACAAACTTGCCAAAGCTTCAAGACCAAACTAAAGCTAGAAATGATAAACAGCCACCCTCCAAACCTCCCAGGCAATTCTTTAATAAAGCCATCACTCCAGAAACTGAGGATCATGTATATTCTGAAGTTGAAGGCACTGACTCTAATAGTGCCTTTCAATTGCCATCAAATGATGTCATATATGAAATAAACCCTAAAGAAGATGGGGCTTTTGAAGGGAGCTCACCAGTGTATGCTGTTTTAGAACCATCCCCAGAGGCTCCAGATCAGAATAAGGGTCCAGAATCACCTAATGAACAGAAACCGGGTTTAGAGCAAGAGAAAAAGCCAGCTGATGACAAAGTTGGAGAGGATTCCGCTTCAGATAACTATGTAACAGTTCTTCCTCCTACTCCTCCCAAACAAGTTTATGAACCTGTAAATGAGAATTCAGACTTGACAGCAAGCGGCTCAAATAAGTTTGATCAATATTCTGTGACACCAAAAGAAGAAGAGCCTGACCCTGTGAAGTCAAGATCTGTAAGTACAATGTAAAGTTATGTCATCATAGTGTTAATTATTTATTTATTTTGAAGTCTGTTAAACTGTTTTCAAAAAACATATACATCAAAACCTTTCACTTTTAAACATGGTAAGATGTCTGATTTTGACATAGTTTGAGATCATGATTCTGTCTCCTTTTTTATGGCTTTTGTTAGTAAGGACAAATTTGTAATAAAAATTGTAATTTTGATTATAACTGAAATAGCAAAATCATGATTGACAACACATATCTTGGTCATTTGAAATCTTAATTTTTTTAAAATAAGAATTAATTTTAACATAAATTATCTCCATTTATCACAATTTTGACAGTATTTTGAGGAGTTTCTTCTGGACAAAGTGAGGCGTTACCAGCTGATAAAAAGAAATGGTACTTTCCTTATTCGAGATTCAACTTCCTCAACTGGATTAAAGGTGCATGTATAAAACTTATCTTGGCCTATTTCATTTTTAGTGTTCCTTCTAGAAGAACCCATAAAAATTCCAAAAATAACAAGAGGTCTGTTTCTCCTGTAAAAGCACTTCTGTTTTCATTCGATATGGGGTTTTAAAAGTTTTGATATTGATATATTGAAACCATCAGCTGAAGAGTTAAAATTAGGGTACCAGAATCAGTTTCTCTATCCTTAAAATTTTGATTTTAAGATATGGCCTAAGCCCGTTCAATTACTAGTGGGAACTTTCATAAGATGGGCTCCAGAAAATTTTGATGAATGAAATTCAGAAGTATTTCGTAAAAACTCTATCAAAATCTGTGAAGATATGATTAAAGATGAAGATAAATCTCCCTTTTGTATTTCCTTGGTGATATATATGTTTTCCCTACACACTCAGAATTAGACCTAAAGTATATTCACCAGCTGGTGCATTACTCAACAAGTGTATTTTTTCTTTGGTTGCAGGTTTTAACCTTGTACTGTTGGAAAAATGACTCAAATAAAGAGCTTTACCACTTTAAGGTACTATTCACAGCTTTAATAGCATGACAATGTGCTTTAAATTAGATGCTTTACAGTGTCAAGATAATTAATTGACTTTAAAAAAACCTTGTTAATCATTAACCTAGCCATATGGCTGGGCATTTATTGGCTTGGCTGTAACTTATTGAGCTTTGGCTTACAAGAAGCCATCATTATTGGTGTTGCTGGACGTGTGTTTCCCCATCAGTTAGAAGATTTGAGATAAGTTGGGGCTAGGTTTGCTTCTAGATCTCTTACCAGCTCACATAATGCTCAAGGCCTTGTACTTTCATGTGGGCGACAAAGTTGAATTGATGTACTTCAAGGTGAGGACCAGGAACCTCTCTGTCCTTTCATTTCCACACCTTACTCCTGTAGGTCTGGATTTAAAGATTAGTACTTAAATGTAGTATCCATCACAACTTTCAGATCAGTTCTGCAGAAGATGGCTGGGTATTCCTTTACAAGAGTTCTAAAAGGTTTTCAGACTTAGATGAACTGTTGAAAGATCTCAGGTTAGTTTTGATCTTCATGAATTGATTATCTGTGCAGCTTAGTTGGTATTTTTTTCTGTAATCATGCTTAAAACTTCAAATATGTAATGAGAATATTATACAAAAATGTGTTGAAGAGTTATATTTGACAAGAACTACACTCCTATAATGTCTTTTTCTATGCATGAATGGAAATGGTACTGGTAAAGCTGTTGGTGCAATCATAAACAAAACAAAACAAAACAAAAAAGGTCTGTCACTGGTTTGGAGGATAGACTTAAAAAATTTACCCAGATTTCTCTGATAACTGTTGGATGAATGTTGAATGATCCATTTCTACAGTCTGTTACTGGCTACTTATCCAATGCTTTCAATTGGTATACCATGGAATATCCCACAATTGTGTATACCATGAAAATACCAGTGACAAGAAGGGTTATTCATTGATATAACATGAGGAAATGCCACTAACTACTCTAAACAATGACACAGAGAATACAGTGGCCCACACAATCAATATCAGATAAGTAGTAGACTCCATTTAGAATAGTTTTGGATAAGCTCTATGATGT